ATATATATATATATATATATATATATATATATATATATATATATTCACGTTGCTTAACATGTGCTTCCTTTCCTGTGCATCGATCGTGCTACGAGCTTAGCCAGTTCACTCGAGCAACTTCGAGATGCAACTTCTAAGCCACGTATTCCCTGGGCCTGGTTCCTGATAGCACATACTTTGACATGTTAACTGGGTGTCGGGTGGGGATATTCCCCACCACTGAATCCCCCCTCGTGAACTGAAATCCACCCTCAGTGAAAATCTCGGTTTACGGGCAGTACACGCTCGAACAAGTCTTAAAAATGGTGGATACACGCATCCGGCATGGACCATGCGTTCTGAAGCGGGGAAAGGCGGGAGAAGGGCATCCCAGGGCGAGGGAGACAATGAACAGCCTCGCCTATGTCCCCCTCCTTCGCTTTCACCGTCCGTGCTTACTACACCCTTTGTCTCTTGCGCGATGCGCTATCAAACAATCGTTTTTGCAGTGCAGCGTATCATAGTCTGTACACAGCATCGCTCTTGCCGGTTTCTATTTACCACCATCATTGAATACGGACAATTTTCTGGTGATTGGATATTTTTGAACACCCAACCACCCCTGAACAACTGTTGTGTACTTCACTCCCACATCCACGCGTCGGTGGCATAAGCATCATTCATGCCATCTAATTTTTACGATGACTTCGAACGTACGCCTTACTGCTGCGCGTCCCAAGCTGGGGACGGGGGGGGGGGGGGAAGGAGGTAAAACACCTTCATGAAAACCAAGTTCAGTGAGTCACAGGCGTGCAAAATTTATTGTGTGCCGTGAAATAACATCGCATGTTATTCGTCTAATTTGTATGCGCCCGCACGGACACTCAAACTATCGATACTCAATCTGCGCATATTAATTCATTTCATAAATTTGATAAATGGGAACGTGCCCCCGGGGCTTCAATGCGCCACGCCTCTACATCTGTGCACAGCGACTGACGCGGGCCTCTAGCCGTTCACGTGGCTAAAATCGTGCCTCCGCCGCCCGAGTCTGCAGCGGCAAAAACGGCGCGTTTACTCATGACGTACTGAGGGCGCATGCTGGGTGACCAGAAACGCCTTTGAAGCACTTTCAAAGTGATGCAGTGCGTGCTGGAAACGCTGGTTAGTGCGGCGTCTATAATACGGCGTGCGAATGAACCCATGTAAAGTTCATGTGACGGCTTGTGTCCGGTTCTCGGTTGGTTATCACCTTGCCTTCTTTCGCAAGCCGGAAATTCCAAGCTAGTCATGTTGTCTCTCCTCCGTCGCTGTAGGCATTTCTATAACCGCGATGCGTACGACAGCGCCAGGGGCGCGGGAACTATGCACGAGTTGAAGGAAGGGAGCAACCCTGAAATACCAAAATGAGCCTCCTAAGAATAAATGGTGGACCCACTTCAAGCCGGAATGGGTCCTTTACAATCCATATTGGTCCCTCTACACTTCAGATTGCTCCTTGATAGGCCAGAACGCTGTGGAACACAGCCAATAACAATCCTTTTACGACCTTGCATGGGCGCTTCTACAGGTCAGAATGAGCCATGTACAGGCCAGCAAGGGCCTCGACAGTGAAAAATGGACCCTCTTCGCCTGATAACAGGCCTCTTCAGACCATCACGGACCCTCTACCGGCCAGAGTAGGCATCTAAATGTCAGAATTGGCCCTTCACTCAATGATGGGCTGTTTACAGATCAGAAGCTGTCTTTACAGGCGGAAATGGGCCATTCACAGTCAATACTGAGCTTTCTTCAGTCAGGTCAGAAAAGAAACCCCACAGGCCCAGAAGTGCCGTCGTATATTCTATGACAGCCTCGTTTGAACAAGAAGCAACTACAGAAATGTTGTGCGCCTCAGTATTGTAGCCGATCTTATTATGCAGACATGATTTGAATTCGGTTAAGACAGATCACTTGTTTCTAAATAAACACAAATAAAACTTAAAAATGGAAGTTGTGTGCAACCGTGAGAATAACAGCAAGGCTGGCGAAATGCGCAGCTTAGGTGGTTCTGCAGGACTAATCAGCACTAAGCAGGCTCCACATCGAGCTATCACTGTACTGTTCCCGACGAATTGTGTGGACCATTGCTATTTCCTATCATCGAAGCTGTATACGGGAGATGAAAACGTTCCGGTCGTAAACATGCAGGGCAAGACGGTCGACACATTGGGTCTTGATGAAGCGCGTCAGACAGTTTCCATTCAGACATGAATATTGTAAACTACGTTAGTACGCAAACATCGGTGTACATGACGTCATTAGTAACGATTGTCACATACAACCTAATTACCCCGATGATGCATACCTAGTGAAATTTCGGCCACCGCCTGTGCCATAAGTTTTGACTGGAGTGAAACGGGCGGCGTGTATCCTCACCTCTGGACCTGGGAGACAGCGCTATTCCCGTGGCGGCCCTCTCGGGGAAGTCCCGCCGCAGGCCCGCTACTGGATAGGCTCATCCGTGCAGGGGAGTAGACACCGCAGAGAGCCACCGCAAATTCGCGTGCTGCTTCCGACGCTGTCGTCCGGTCGGCGCGACGTGAAGGAAGCTAGTGATGGTTTCCTAGCAACATTTCAGTTCGGTTCGCTGCATTCACGAACCATTCTAACGAGTGGTTTATTGTTTGATTCGGTACAATTACAATGGTAGTTTCGCGAAAATCAGCTTATATTACACGCTGGATTTACAAATACTTCAAGCTCACAAGTCACTCTATTTTCCAAGAACCAGATATCCGTCTCATGATCTGCCACACTCTCCCGACCCCGTTCCTCGCGGGGGCCGACCTCACCACAGGTCACACCGCGCTGAGCTCACTCGGCTCCACCAATCATCACGTTGCACGTATTTGCGTGACTACGAATGACATTTCAAAACATGGCAACAGCGCGACCACATTCGCACGTTATCAACCATCCAGCCACCACAAAACTTCATGAAGACAAGATAATTAATGGACATCTAAATCCCCAACACACGTCACACAACGGCAAGCGAGCAATGACGACACAACGGGACCGTCTAAATCCCCTTGCCAAGTACGAAACTCGTCGCGGATGCGAGGTGCGGTGGTGGTCGGCGACAGGCAACTCTGAGATGAGGCCGCAAAATGCGAAAAAGCCCTGCATGCCACCGAGAGGAAGAGCTGGCAGATCAAGAGCGTCCGTCACTGCCGCTCAGGTGGCACGATAGCACACAACGGGGTGTGCGTCCACCTCGCCGTAAACAAACATCATGCAGGGAGGCGATTTTGTCGAGCCTGCGCAGGGGCTTTTGGGACGCAAGCTTTGAAACATCAAAAGCCTATTTGACACACCTTAGAATGTGTATGTCATCACTCTAAAAAAGACATGCAGAGACAGGATTCATGACGTAATTTATCCATCTTGGGCTATTTTGAACAAACCATCAACCGCACTTTGCACAATGTGGTGCCTCTTAATTACACCGCCACTGCAGAGGTACACCGCCACTTACTCAATGGTCGGCGTGTAAACCTTTCTTAATATCAGCCTACATACAATAGCGCAAATGCATGCAGCAGCGAACTCTTTTTCATTAAGACGCGGGCGGGGATGTTATTTTAAAAAATTGGTTAGAGAAGGGAGTGCTGAGCTAATAAATCTGACCGAACCTACCCTCAAAACACGTTTTCTCCCCGAATTTCACCCACGTAATTTTGAGTTCCCTCTGTCACGGACTAAAAATATGTATTAACAACTTTGAACCGGTAGTGCAGGCGGCGGAGAACAGTTTCAAGGAAGCATGACTTCTCACTTCCAGTCCACCGAAAGCATGTTAACAAGACTGCCCGATATGATCACTGAAAATAGGCCTCGTTTATCGTACGTGCATGGTGGTCCGAGGCGCAAAAACACGGTTCTTGGCGACATGGCATGTCCTGACATATTCGGACCAGAGAGGGGTAGTGTGCACAGGATACATCTCACGTGGAGCGGCTACTGAAAATGTGTCATGTGCACTAACAGGAAGTGCCTGCACCTACAAGTGGAACTGAGCTTGCATGACCTCAACAGATGTTTTGACAGCTAGAAGGACGAAGTAGGTGAAGGCTGGTGACCGGACGGGTCACAAGATGACCGCCTTAGCATGCGCTCGGGTGGGGGGGGGGAACAAATTGACCCCCCCGAAGGTTTTTCCAGAATAGTTTGCGAACGACGCGGCGTAGCCGCGCCAAATTTTGCATA